AATTCCATGATGTATTATTTTGTATGGGATAAGATAAATAAAATTTCTGCACAAAAATCATGGTAAAAAATTTAATAAATTAAATTGGTATTATAAATTAATGTAATTTACTATAATTATATAATTAATATGTAAATTTTTTCAGCAAACTGTTTACCAAATTGACACGTGAATATAACTTTAAGCTGATTTTTTACTATTTGAAACAATATCGATTTATATATAAGCAAATGAAATTTATTAATATGCCAAAGACGAAATTGCTTTTGGAAAAACAACTTACGATTGTGGCGCAATATTTTCAGCCACGTGTGTCTTATTCGACTGTAAAAATGTGGTTAGATAGTATAACGGAGACAGTATTATCTCGTCTGAGAAATAAATATCCAGCTCATTCAATTTGCTCTACGATTTTAGAGCAATTTTCTTTTTGGAGAGATAACAATATTGATGACAATTTCTGGAATGAAACAGAATCAAGGCAAATTATGCGTATTCTCGAAGAATATATATTTTCCGAGTTAGAAATCTATAAATGGGATCAATTATTAATAACATCAGATCTCGGAGCCAAATATATAAAATATGTAAGTTATTTTAAATCATAATAATAATTTTTGTTTTGCGCTACGTAAATATACTTATATTTTTTATATGTTATGAATGTTCAATATATAATTTTTCTAATATTTAACATAGATTGCACAATATTTTCGAAGACATCTATTGACTGTCACGTATCACATCGTAGCTAGAAGACTCGGCATACATAACGTTCTGACAATGAGACTAACTGGAACAGATATTGCAGTCATATGGAAACCAAAATAGTAAATATAATTTTAGTTTATTGCTAATATTTTTTCAACACATATATAATGTATATTTATATATACATTTTTTGTAAGAACATTTCTACGATTTCTCTGGTTTCTTGTTTGTTTTAAATTGATGAAACAAAGGATCGTAGCATAGAAATATTTTCTCCTCGAGCATTTAACAAAACGTTAGCGCATGCATACGTATACATACGCGTGCATTATACATACATTTACAAAAAAATAATCAAAATATCTTTCTTTCGATAAGAGACATCTTAAAATTTTTATATGAAACAATATAATTTCATTTACAAAAATGTTTTATTTATTTTACATATAAATATATCCACATATATAGATTTAAAAAAATTATGTTTTATAAATAATATTTTACTGAAAAAAACTATTAATTCTTTATAACTTTGTGTTAAGGCTCCTAAGTACTCGCCGTGACCATATTGGAATCGTGACGTCAGAGACGAGAATGACACACTGAGAATTCGTAGTTATTTTAAATAAAAAGATATTTTGATAAAACAACACTACAGATCGCTTTAGTACACTTGTGTGCTAAAATTGTCCGAAAACTATGCTAAAAACATATATGTTTCGTATCACACTCATTTTAGGGCTGTTTTTTAATTATCAAGGAAAAAGCATGTTTTTCGGACAATTTTAGCACACAAGTGCAAAATAATGAGAGAAATAGATGCAATTGAAAAGTAAAATTGTATAATGTTTTAAAATATGTTAGGCAATTATTTTTTATTTTATATTGAAAAGAATTTTCTGTCAAACCTCTTCAATAATTTTTAAAAATGTAGCATGTTGCGCAGTTGAAATTTATACACAACATTTATAATCAGTCTATTGCAAATGCTAAAGAAATTATGAATTTTAATTACAATGAACATTCTTTTTATATGTTTAAACGCATATATGTATATGTATGTAATGATATTTTTGTCTTATTTTTAGTAATACAAACAGTAGGTATAATGCAGAATTCTTTTATATGAGCTACAAGTCCAATCTACTTTATCCATCGAACATTATCAGAGGGAGGGTCCACAGTAATATACTCCTACTGATTTCATCATATAATATTATGGTTGGTAATTATTAATATTTAATTTTAAATAGTTAATAAAAATATCAATTAATTATGCCTTGTAAATAACACGTTAATTTAATGAGTTTCGATACATTTTAAATCAATGAGTGAAAGCGATAAACTTCTTTTTATTTTTTGTCTGTAATCAAGATTTTCTTTACATATTTTTTTCTTTAGATAATGGATATTATGACGACACTTTATAATGTAAAACTAGAATATCGTTGGAATTTCAACATTATTACCACTTTTCTATTTCATTGCATTGGAGAAAATGTTGGGAAGTTGTTAAATATTCAAATTGAATACAAAAATATTACAAATACAATAGAGGTAGCTATAACATATGATATAATATTATTAAATTATGCAGTATATAATAATAGTATATAGTATATAATAACTTTATGATTAATAATAATTGTATTCAAAAGTACGAGCGCTGTATGATAAGTACCCGTGTTAGGGAAGGAAACGCATTTTAAAAAAAAATTTTTTTTATTTATTTCTCAACATAGTCTCCTTTCAGCTCGATACACTTAGTCCAGCGATATTCCAATTTTTTTAAGCCATCCAAAAAATATGATTTGTTGAACTCTGCAAAATAGGCCTCTGTTTCGGCGATGACCTCTTCGTTTGACGTGAACCGCTTTCCGCCAAGCCATTTTTTCATGTTTGAAAATAAAAAGAAATCGCATGCAACTTTACTTTAATTTCCTCACACGTCTTTCCATCCAAAAAAAGGAATCAAATCACTGACCAATATTGCTCTTTTTCCATGGTTGCAAACAAACACAAACTTGCCCATTTTCAACAGCTATCAAAACAAAACTACTCGATAAATCTGTCTGAAATTTTGACAGGCGTCGTTCGAAAGATGGCGTTAAACGATGGTATACAGATTTTGAGTCAGTGGTGCTATCAGTCGTTAAACATGGGTACTTATCATACAGCCCTCGTACACAGAGAAAAGCTGTGCATTACATGAAAGTGAGTGTGTATGTCTATATAAATGTGTATAATTACACAGGTCGGCATAATTTTATTTTTTTTCTGTGATCTAAAAAAATAGAGTAGTTTTCTATAGTTTTTTGTGCACTGACTTCAAATCCACAAGGCAAAATAGTCTATTACCTCAGGTTTTCGAGAAAAATGGGGTTAAAATCCTCAAAAACGCGTTATTTACCATTTTTGAAAATTTGTAGCTGACGAACCCGATGTGCAAGAGACTACAGACAGGGCTCAAATGATAGCTTGAACATTAATATAATAATATTGAATCTTTTACCGCACATACCATTAAATCTCAGGTGCGCTATGTTTTTAGATGTAGTCGTGTACTGTATCAAGTAGTACGATTGCCCCATGCAGTCCAACTGCAAAACCATTGCTAATAGCAAAAACTTCAATAGTAAATTTAATAAATAAGATAATCATAGTTTATTATGTTTGTAAAAAATTATATTAGTAAAAAATTGTTATTTTTTGAAAATTGTTTAAACAATAATTTCTTCAACAAATTAACAAGAAAACGTTTTTAATACGATTAAGCACTTTTAATCTCGTGCATTAAATCTATGATTAAATTTTTTACTGTTTGCAACGGTTTTGCAATCGAAATGCATAGAACAATCGTTCCACACAGTGCAGCTAAAAACAAAGTCGTTCTCTCCGTGAACGCAGCATAGACATAAATTTTGGCTCAATAACGCAACTGCATAACGCAAATAAGGATCCCCATGATTGAGTGTATATTAAATTAAATCGTAATAGACTCAGCGTGTAAAAGCGATGAATATACCGATTACTGATAAAATTTTCTCTTTTTTGAATAGATATTTTTTTTATATTCCCGATTTTAATTTGCATCCATTCCGTTGATTTAATAAAAAAATGTAACGAATCGAAAGTTTACTGAAGTTCTCCTATTAATTTCAAAAAACATTGTTTGAAAATGAGAAGTCTTGAATTTTGCGCTATCGGAGGAGACGTTCATTTGATATCAATTATGATTCGATGCGCTCGACGCTAATGGTATAGAGTTGATTTTTATTATCATTTTAAGATTATCACAGCGCAAATATTGTGTAAGGGTGATTTGTCGAATAAGCACATATGTTATTTCGAGACTGCGCATTTTTATTGAAATGCGTAATCATTTTTTTGTCTTATCAATTTTTACAATAAGCAAATTATTTTCTCTCCGCTTGTCAATCGGTTACCTTTCAAATGTGGATTATAAATGTTTGAAAAGATGATAATAGTATTATCTTTACTGGTTGCTTTTTGGACTCTACATTAAATTTTATTTAAAAAAAAACGGTGCAGTAGTTCTGTCAAAAAAAAAAAAAAAAAAAAAAAAAAAACCAGTTTGTGTGTTTCTCTTAATTTACTATTCCAGAAAATTAATCTCTTAAAACTGATATTATTCTTGAATTATTAAAACTCGGCTTCTAGATTACGCATAATTTCTTTCTAACATTTAATAATTTTTCAAATTTCGAAAATAATTCGTGGGAAAGAAAAAGATCTCTCGTGTTAACTGCATAATTTTTCAAAATTCAAGCTGTCGATCAATTAAAATCCCCAAACAAATTTTCTTGTTCTTTTATTGTATAAAAATGGGCAATTGAAAATATCAGAAGGACGAAAAATCCCTTTGAAGTAACATTAGAGCAAAGTCGTAAACCATAAATCCCAAAAAGGAGAGACGGTCTCGAAATTTTTCTTCAAAGAATTTTTCATTTTTGCCTTGTCATTATAGTTTCATTGACCAATCAAAATCAAGAGATCTATGTCCTCTTTATCCTGATTGGAAAGTCAAACGTTTCGAAACATTTCTAACACTAAGCAAAGTGCATCTGAGTCTACACCATATCAAACAAAGTGCACGTTATAGACGCATGGCGATAGTTCTAGAAGCCACAAGACACATTGTGCGCTCACATTCGTGATTCGTTATATATATATATACATATATATAAGTATATAAATAAAATTAGTGATACGAAATCAGTAAATAACGCTTGTTGCCAGTTGATTAATGTATTGTTTATTTTTTTTTTAAGATGGCTACAATAACATATTTGCCCGACGATGTGATTGTTATTATTTTGGAAAACAAAAGCATCAGCTTAGAGGATATCATGAATTTTAAGTCCACGTGTAAAAGATTCCAGCAGATAACACTGTCCAACAAGTTTTGGGAAAAAAAATATTATCAGAGGTATTTTTTTATTTATAAGTTACTTATATTAATTTATTTATATTTATTTTACGCTCGGTTGATTCTCGTATATGTGTATGTGTGTGTATGCGTGTGCTTGTTAAATCAGTGGAAAATAAACATGTGTCTGATATTACAATTTAATATGATTGTAGTAAAAAATCAAGATTTAGTAAAGCCAAAATTTTTATGCATCTAAAATATCGTCACTATAATCTACATCGATCAACTCCAAGTTTCGCGCCGATAAACATAGCTTATAATTTTTCATATTTTAATTTTAAATCTTGCAATAATACGATAATTATATTCATACACTTTTCTTACATTTATATATTTTAAAATTGACTTATTAAATATTTTTTTTACTTTTCATAAATAACGATATCTTTTCATATTTATAATGTAATCGTATTTTCTTCTTGTAACTTTCAACCTTTATGGTTTTTACAATTTTATAAAGCATTATATGCATTCAATTATATCTATTTAGAGATTGTAAAGATTGAACATTCGTTTAATTTTAAAATTTTCTTTTTGTTTTTATTCTTATTTTAATGTCATGTGTAGAATAAAAAATATCCCTACATACTTAGTATTCACTCGATTTCTCTCATTTAATATGATTTAAAGTAACAAACTTAAACGATGCAAGATTATCGCAGCACATGTATGTCGATAACACATTGTGCATATATGTATGTGTATCGTATTGCTATGCATTTCTATTGTGATAATTATAGTTTCTTTTTCAAGATTAAATCATATCTTCCTTTTAAATAGAAGAATCTATATTGTTATTTATAATTTTTTAAATTTATTCCAAATATTAATTTACATGTAATTATAAAATTTATATATACTTTAAAATGTATATTTTCTAAAATTTATTGCGCGCTGATGTATACTATAGCGTTGTTTAATATAATTTTCTTTCTAAACTTTAGCTGTCCTACTGCAGAAAAAAAGTATGATACAGAAAAACAAAAGCAAATATTTCACCATATCGATTTCAAAGAAAGAATGAAAGCAGGATTATATTGTATTCAAAGGTTACAATATTATGAGTTTGTGATGTCGGAAAATAAATTACGTAATACTGACAAGGAACAATTGGAGCATCTCCTGCGTTTAATCGCTGAAAATTCTATGGTATATTATTTAGTATGGGATGAAATAAATAGAATTTCTGCACAAAAATCATGGTAAAAAATTTAATAAACTAAATTGTTATGTTGTATTGATATTATAAATTAATGTAACTAATTATGATTGTATAAAGTTAATATATAAACTTTTTTAGCAAACTGTTTTCTAATTTGACACGTGAATATAACATTAAGCTAATTTTTTACTACCTGAAACAGTATCGATTTATATATAAGCAAATGAAATTTATAAATAAGCCGAAGACAAAATTGCTTTTGGAAAAACAACTTACGATCGTGGCGCAACATTTTCAGCCACATGTGTCTTATTCGGGCGTAAAAATGTGGCTAAATGGAATAGCGCAAACAATACTATGTCGTCTGAAAAGTAAATATCCAGCTCATTCAATTCTCTCTACGACTTTAGAGCAATTTTCTTTTTGGAGAGATAACAATATTGATGACAATTTCTGGAATGAAACAGAATCAAAGCAAATTATGTGTATTCTCGAAGAATATATATTTTCCGAGTTAGAAATCTATGAGTTTCATCATTTATTAAAGGCATTAGATCTCGAAGCCAAATATATAAAATATGTAAGTTATTTTAAATTATAATAATAATTTGTTTTGCGTTGCGCAAATATAACTATAATTTTTATATTCTATAAATATTCAATATACAACTTTTCTAATATAATTTACCATAGATTGCAGGATGTTTTCGAATATATCTATTGACTGTCGCGTATCACATCGTCGCTAGAAGACTCGGCATACGTAGCGTTCTGAGAACACATGGAATAGTTATTGCAATCATATGGAAACCAAAATAGTAAATATAATTTTAGTTTATTGCTAAAACTCTTTCAATATTTGTGGATATATACATTGGGGATTAAATAATTACAAAAAATGTTTTTTTTATTTATTTTACAGATAAACATATTCACATATTTAGATTTTAAAAAATATCGTTTAATAAATTTTGCCGATAAAAACTATTAATTCTTTATAACTTTGTGTTAACATGTACGGAATGATAAAATGTCTTTCTGTGCAAAATAACAGATACAATTTATTTAAAATAAAACTTGTATAATTTTTAAAATATATTAGGCAATTATTTTTATTTTATATCGAAAAGAATTTGCTGTTAAATCTCTTTGATAATTTTAAAAAATGTAACATGTGCAGTTGAAATTTTTGCATATTTATAATCAGTTTATTGCTAATTTAGTTAGAGAAATTATGAGTTTTAATTACAATAAACATTCTTTCTATATGTTTAAACGCATATATATGTATATATAAATGTTTTTTTTATTTTTAGTAATACACACAATTGGGATAATGCAGAGTACTTTTTTATGAATCAGAATTACAGTTTATTTTATCCATCAAACATTATCAGAGGGAGGTACCCAAGTAATGAACATTTACTAATGGAGTCATCAGAATATATTTGGGTTGGTAATTTTTTATATTTAAGGGGATCCAAAAGCTCGTCTGTTTTACCGACCAAAAATTATTATTTTGCATTTATATTAATTTTAAATAGTTAATAAAAATGACAATCAATTATAAGTATCGTAAATAACATATTAATTTAATGAATCTCAATACATTTTAAATCCAGGAGTGAAAATAATGAACTCCTTTTTATTTTTTTGTCTGTAATTAAAATTTTTTTTACATGTCTTTTTCTTTAGCTAACACGAGAGATTATGATAATTTACCGTATAAAACTAGAATGTTATCATAATATATATTGCAAATGGAATTTCAAAATCTTCAATTTTATATGGCAACATTTTATGACAAATGTTCAGAACATAAATATTGAAATTGAATACAAAAATATTACAAATACAATAGAGGTAGGTTATAACATCGTATAATGTAATTTAATACATTCATATAACAATATATGAAAAGAGAACATTAATTATAATTATTTATAACATAAATCATTACATTATTCTAAAAATTGCTTGTGTAACAAGAGATCGATTGAATTTGGTATTATGTTTCCACAGGTTAGATCTAACGCAGTGAAGAAACCATTAAAAAGAAGGACAAAAAATGTTAAATTTGCCGTTGGAATGATCGTAAGGCATACATGGCAAGATTATTCTTGCATTCATAATCATGATGGCATAATCATTGGATGGCATCGTAAATGTGACAGAATGTTACGGGACAAATTGGACAAGACTATTATGTTACCATATCTACGTCAATGCTCTGAACATTATCACATTTGCGAATGTCAACAATTTTCAGCCAGTGCCCATCAAGTGCACTACATCATTCTTGCCGAGAATAATAGAATATGTTATGTGCAACAAGGTATAATTATTAGTAGCGTTCTTATAAACCACACATGTGTTTTATGATCTTTTATCTATATAATATAAAATATATCTTTCTTAAATAAATAAAATAAAAAGGCAATATGTTGTTAATATCGCGTTGAAGATGGCCCGAAGAATGAGACAGAAACGTGCACTTTATATTGACACATTATAATAATAAATTATTTTTGCGCCCCAATTATTGCACGTGGCTGGTATTGCCTTTTTATGTTTTTTATTTCAATTATATATTCCTAAGAACCTATTATATCTTATATATCTTTTTTATTTTAAAACAATTAAACTGTGAATATAGGCTTTTTTTTATTTTAGATCAACTATCGATATGTTCACCAAAAAAGATTAATAACATAGAAATTGGAAGATACTTCTCTAGCTTCGAAGGCACTTATTACATACCAAATGAAAGCTTAAGAAAACATTATCCAAACGATACCGCTGCAATAGCCAAAATACTTGTCAAGCAGTAGTTTTTATTATCTTAAAATGTACAACACTTCTCTCAACAACATATTTCTTAATTTAGTTCCCATTATGAATGACACACACACACACACAAACATATACAGGGTGTTTTATTTTAATCGTCCCAGGCAAATATCTCGAAAAATGTGAAAGATATGGAAAAACGTTTCAGACAAAAGTTGTTTGGTTCGAAGAGAGACATAAGATAGTATTATTGGTTTGACTTTGAGTGAACATGCCAAGAGCATATGGAGTTCAACTTTATTTTTTTAAAGAGAACTCTACATTTTTTTATTGCATAATCTTGTAGCTTATCTCGAGAGCTTTTCAAAACACTATAATAAAGTATTTTTTCATTAAGTACTTTTTGAGTTATTTTATATTTTAATCTGACATATTTTGATATAAAAAATAAAATATCTCGTAAAATATTTAGTTTTCGATAATCTTACCGTAATACTTTTATGTACAGAATAAAGAGACAAATCAATTAATGTAAAAAAATAATTGTTTTTAAGAAAATGTATGTAATTATTTACAATGTATTTTTTGTGTGTTCTTAAACATCGTAAAATTAAAAATGCAATGTTAACACAGTATTATGAAAAATAAAATATATTAAAAATACATGTAAAATTATGTCGAATCATGTGCGTGTCATTACATTTTCGTGATCCTTTTTAATATCTAGTCAAACTCTGACGTCCATGAAATGATTTGAGTTTTTGCAACAGTTTTTTCAACATCGTGTGGTTTCCAGTTTAGTTATCATGTGCAATAAACGTTCACAATTCTATACATTTCATGAATCTTACTATGTATCAAATAAGACGTGTATTCTACGCATTTCGAAAATTTTCGTCAGGCCGATCAATAGTCGAATAAAACGCAAAGCATCGTTATAGCATCGTTAATAGAGATATTTTAAGATAAAAATTATTTGCTCAAATATAAATGACATTGTTTGCTTTTATATACAAATAGAACATGCCCGTGATTCTTATTTTTTCTAGGTTACAATAAAAGAAAATAATTTTGCTTGCACATTCAATTAAGTTAGTCCGAAAGATTTATAATGTGAATATCTCCGTATTACTTTTTAATATGCAGGGACGGTTCTGACGAGCGTGCAATGCGTGCCGGCGTGTAGGTGCAAAACTTTAAGGGTATAAAAATATTGCATACAAAATACAAAAATATAAATGGTTACAAATTAAAGATTGAAAATAAAAATTTGTTATGTATATACATTACGTATTGTCTTTAAACCGACAATTTTCGTCTTGTTTTTCTACACACCAACATGGGGGCGTAAAAAATGTTCTTACATGCAGACTAGTTATACAGGGTGGTCCATTTTAAAAGAGCCAGTCAAATATCTCAAAAAATATGGAAGATACGGAAAAACGTTTCAGACAAAAGTCGTTTGGTTCGAAGGGGGACATAAGATGGTGCCATTGGTGTGACCTTGGATAGTCATTTGAAGGTCACATGAAGGTCACTTTCAATTTCTTAAATGGAAACCCCCATTTTTCATTGCATATTCTTACAACTTATGTCGAGAGCTTTCCAAAACACTATAATAAAGTATTTTTTCATTAAGTACTTTTTGAGTTGTTTTATATTTTATTCTGACATATTCTGATAGAAAAAATAAAATATCTCGTAAAATATTTAGTTCTCGATAATCTTACTGTAATACTTTTATGTACAGAACAATGAGACAAATCAATTAGTAAACAAAATAATTGTTTTTAAGAAAAAGTATGTAATTATTTATAATGTATTTATAATGTATTTTTTTAAACAATTATTTGTTTTTTTTTTACACCTAATTGATTTGTCTCATTATTCTGTACATAAAAGTATTATGGCAAGATTATCGAAAACTAAATATTTTACGAGATATTTTATTTTTTATATCAAAGATATAAAAAATAAAATATCTCGTAAAATATTTAGTTTTCGATAATCTTACCGTAATACTTTTATGTACAGAATAATAAGACAAATCAATTGCTATAAAAAAACAAATAATTGTTTAAAAAAATACATTGTAAATAATTACATACTTTTTCTTTTTTTATCAGAATTATTTAATTATTTACCAGAAAAAAAATCCTTAAAAATAGTCTTTTTTAGCCATTACACTGGTTTCCCTCTTTAATGTATATTTTTATTTATATGTACATATATACATATATGTATATATGTGTGTGTGTGTAAATATATATAACTTGATTGAGCTATCAATTTTTTTAGATAATAATAAAACCATCTTTCTATTAAGTTAATAATAAAAATTTATTATGAGGATAACTTTGTCTATAGCAAAACAATAGTAACTTATATAACTATATGCAATAAACATATAATGTTTTGTATAATGTGTATTATTGTTATGTAGTAGATAACATATAATGTCTATTAAAAAATAAAAAAAGATTAAAACAAAGAATGTTGAAATGTTTTAAATAAAAAATTTTAATTTTTCTTGCATATGAAAACTTTAAAAAAATTTATTTTACAAGTAAAAATTGTTAGCTATACAGATTCTGTAATAATACCCAACAATTTCTAAAAACATAAAATCTTATAATGTCTAGTAAGTGTAGAATTTTAGAAAGTTTCTTAGACAATGAAAAAAAAGAAATTTAAAAAATAAAGAGGACTGGACAAGGAAGTAAAGACCAAAAAGGTTGTGTATATAAGATAATTGTTTTAGTTTCAGGTAACGAAAGTTTTACTGATATTATGTTCATACCTAGAGAAGAATAGGTCAATGGAAAAGCATAACAAAGACATTTTCCAAAATCAGATACTTTAAAGCATATTACTCGGGTCGAACAAATATGTACACAATTAGGCGCACGTGTGAAAGCTGTGCATTCCATGAGCGGGAGTGTATATGTCTATATAAATGTGTATTATTGTCGCAGATGTTACAAATGTTTGAAGATCATTAGCCAGAACAATAAGGGAAAAATTCCAACCTAAATATAAAACTTTAAATTCTGACTGATTATTACAATAATAATTAATAAAATAAGATAAAATCTTTTAAAATTTATATATAAATCAAAATTGAAAATTTGAAATCTAGAGTTTACCGTGCAAAGACTGAGCTACGAATATTGACATTCGTCTATTCCGCGTATTTCACGATCGTACATGATTTATTTATTAGATTTTTGCAATTTTTCGTAAATAAGTAATTATAATTAAATATAAAAATAATAAAAAAGGGACAAAACGAATTTTGATAACAGCATAATAGCGAAATAAAATTGAAATAAAGATTTATGGAAAATTTAATATTTGTTTACATTACCAAAAAATATGAAAAAAAGGAAAATAAAAATTATTGTATTAAAACTCAATATTTGTTAGCACAACAAATGCAAACACAAAATAAAACAGCAATGGTTTACGGCAGCAAATGCTAATTTGAATGCAATTACTCCGTGGGCTACTTTTGCGTAAATATATGTCGAAAATTTAATTAAATATCGACTCGCAATGCACAATTGTTTTTGAAACATTTTCACTAAAACATATATTTTGGATCAATAGCGCAACTGCATGACGCAAATAAAGATCAAGACTGGATATATATTGAATTAGATCATAATAGACTCACAATCAGCTCAGCAAAAGCGGTGCAAAAGCGGTAAATATACTGATTGCTGATAGAATTCTCTCTTTTTTGAATACATGTTTTTTTTATATCTCCAATTTAAATTTGCATCCTCTCCATTAATTAAATAAAAAAATTTAACGAATCGAAAGTTTACTGAAATTTTCCTATTAATCTCAGAAAACGTTTGAAAATGAGATATATTGAAATTTGTGATATCGAAGAAGACATTCATTTGATATGGATTATGATTCACGGAAAGTTTGATGCGCTCGACGCTAGTAGTATAGAATGGACTTTTATTATCATCTTAAGATCACAGCGCATATACTGCGCGAGGGTCGAGTAAGTGTATATGTTATTTCGAGACTGCGTATTTCTATCGAAATGCGTCATTTCTTTATCTTATTAATTTTTACAATAAGCGAATCATTTGTTATCCGCTTGTTAATTGGTCGCCTTTAAAATGTCAAGCGGAATATCAGCGTGTAAAAGAATGATAATAGAATTATCTTTACTGATTGCTTTTTGGACTGTGCATTAAATTTTATTTTTAAACAACTTTAACTTTTTATTTTAAAAAAACTAACTTTTTATTTTTAAAAACTGTGCAATAGCTTAGTTAAAAAAAAAACAAAGTCTCTGTGTGCGTTTTTTTAAATTTACTATCTCTGAAAATTAATCTCATAAAACTGATATCATTCTTGAATTATTAAAATTCGCTTTCAAAATTACGCGTAATTTTTTTCTAACATTTTATAATTTTTCAAATTTTAATAATAATATGTGGGAAAGAAGAAAACCTCTCTCGTTAACTATTAATAATTTTTCAAAATTCAAGCTGTCGATCAATTAAAATCCCTAAATAAATTTTCTTTTATTGTATTACAATGGGGAACTGAAAATATCAAAAGAGCGAAAAATCCTTTTGAAATAACAATAGAGCAAAACGCCTAAACGCTTAAACGCCACAAGTCTCTAGAACAGTGAAAAAGATTGTCTCGAATTTTTCTTCATATAATTATTCATTCTTGCCTTGTCTTTTTAGTTGCATTGACCAATCAAAACCAAGAAATATATGTTTTCTTTATTCTGATTGGTAAGTCAAACGTTTCGAAGCATTTCTAACACTGAGCAAAGTACATCCGAGTTTACACCATATCAAACGAAGTGCACGTTACAGACGCATGGCGATAGTTTTAGAAGCTACAATAAACTTTGTATGCTCATATTCGTGATTTATTATTTATATAAGTCTATAAATAAAATTAGTGATACAAAACTAGTAAATAACGCTCGTTGCCAATTGTTTTGTGTATTGTTGAATCTTTTTCCGATGGCTACGATAACACACTTGCCCGACGATGTGATTATCATTATTCTAGATAGGAAGAGCATCAGCTTGGAGGATATCGTGAATTTTAAATCCACGTGTAAAAGATTCCAGCAGATAACATTGCCCAACAAATCATGGGAAAGAAAATATTATCAGAGGTATTTTTTTATTTATAAGTTTTTTAAATTAAGGGGGCATATCCGTCTGAATCTTTAAAAAATAAATACATTTTCTAGATTTTTTGCAGTGCAACAATTTGATAAAAACTTTTTTTTATTACAATATTAATGCAATATTATTAAATATTCAAATCAATATTTCCAGCACA